AGGAACGAGGAACAGAATTCTGTCAACACACTGAATGAGCTTAGAAGCAGATTCTCCCTGTACAACCTCCAGCAAGAAACAGCTCTGCTGTGAAAAGATGAAACACCCCATGTTTTCGGCCTTGTGAAACCCGGAGCCGAGAGACCAGGGAACCAGGCTGGGGCCCAATCTTAAATACAGAGAATAAATGAATGGTATGGTAAGTCCCAGGATTTACAAAGGCAGCAAACGAAAACTAGTATATGCTCTATGAGAGCACGGATCCCCATCTCGGAGTTTTCTTCATGCTGTGTTGCAGAGCCTAGAATAACACCTCACAACAACAGATAATAAATACTTGTTGAATGAATGAATATACACGGTATATGCATTCTTTCCCATGAAGTCTATATTTTACGAGATGATAGAATTTTTTTACCCCAAAACATTGAATAAAAAATATTAAAAATGTAAAAGGTGAGTTGATTTGAAAACGGTCTAATCAGTAGTTTGTATCTTTGCAGGTTAGTCGTGGCTGGCTACCACCTCCTAAACTACTGGTTTTCAAAATGCATGTTGTAACATATTGGCAGGTCATAAAATCAATTTATGGGGTTGAGACAGGTAAGAAGGAAGGAAATAAAACAAAGAAAACCTTAGAATTTTAATTTTAGTGTGGGGTGTATGAGTGTGTGTGTACACTGGATCACACTGTAAGATGTATTTCTTACTGTAAGTACCATCAAAATAATTGGAAAACAAGGGCCCTAAAGGTCACCGTACTCTATGCTGTGGACCAGGATACAATTTAGGGCCTGACCAGAGGTGAGATGAAGACAAATGAATGGTGAATGTGTCTGTTAAGAAAGGGCTGATCAGGAAAGAACTACACTATCCCAAGTCTGTGATTAAATTTGCAAGGCAAGAGAGAGCACTATGGTTGAAGAATTCACACAAATTGCACCATCTTAAGATGAGGAAATGAACTTTTTTCCTCCTGCTTTCTTTTTTTTTTCGGCCTTGGGGCTGGAATAGTGCCCCTGGACAGTGTTCAGAGCGCCCCCACCCCCAATCACAGAACAGTGGCTGAGTCTTGGTATAAAATCCAGCAACATCTGGACGAGGACGACTTGAGGCTTTAATCAGCAAAGCATCCTAAAATGCTGTTTCTTTTCTCCCTTACAGGGAAAGCATTAAAAACCCAAATACTTATCTATCTTCTGAGATTAGCCAGTTATTAGTGTCATATAAATTTAGCTGGAGAGGAAGTCAGAAATGTCCTTGGCACGTGGAACCAAAAAATAAATCCTGGTTAAAGGAACTCGAAATTGAATCTAACTCAATATCCTCATTTATTTTGCAGATGAGGAGGCTGAACTAAAGGCTTATACTATCCCCATCATTATAAAAATGTTATATTTATCCATGATTCCAGTGTTTATTGTCAGTGGACTGCATATGGATAACTAGAATAATGTAACTGTACACTATTCATTCCCCTACTCTAGGGCATATGCCTGGTTGGCAGGGACCATACCATACATCTTTGTACTCTCATTAGTGCCTACTGTGCTTTGGGAAATTAAATAAGATAATACCTGTAATACACTTAGATTGCTTCATACACTCTAAGAGCTAAGTGAATGCCTTCATATATGCTTTTGTTGCTTTGATTGTAATAAGAGCATTATTATTATTACAGGATGTTTATGCAGGGGAAATTCTTAATACCTGTTGATTTTCTTTGCATTATTTGCCAAAATGAAATCATATTTTGTGCACTTAAAATCCACTTATATTTGAAGAGACTTTTTAGAAAAATAGAGTTCTTATCTGCTTGAGGCACTTTAAATAGTAAAGATGAAAGAATTCCAATTAGTTAAAAGTTACCCAGAAAATGTCTTAAGTATATGAAAAGTAAATAGACCTAGGATTTGTGATTCATAAAGATAACATTTCTAATGAAAATACAGAATCTTGCATACTCTGAAGGTCATCTTTCTTTACATAAGAACCAGACTTAAGAGCTGCATGACCATTGGTGTTTAGAACCCATACCCATGGCCACGGACTGTGAATTCTAAAATCAAAATGTAACTTCCTTTAGATGTTCCACAGAGAAAGAATATCACAACATTCAAAGAAATGAATCACAATCTATTTTTTCTGAGGATCCAACAATGTTATCAAAGATTTTTTTTCCTCAAATTTTACAAGCTCTCCAGCACCTTTCCCCCCTGCTACTTTTGTATTATATAATTAGAGTATAATTATGTGCTCTTTCACACTGGAAAGAGTATTCTTTTATTAATGACTCTTTGAAAAGTTTATTATTTATCTTTGAAAATGAGTTTGAAAGCAAAGGGCTCTCATGATTTTTCCTTTCTTTCTTTTTAACTTTGGAGTTCTTAAAAGTAATACAATAGATGGTTACAGAGGTCATAGGCAGTCATAAGTTTCCACCTTTAAGGTAAGAAATAGGGTTCAGGAAACAAAGGTTGCATCCTCCTTTTCCTCCAGATTAAGTGTTTGGGGTACTGAAGAACATGATTGCAAAATGCTGATGTTCCAACAAGGGTTGTCTATTCTTTGCCTTTTCTCCCTTGTTGGGACAAATAGAAAATGGATCAGAATAATAAGCTTCCTGAATCTGGTACAAAGAGAGAAGGGGGGTATAATTCACATTTATAGTAGGAAGTACAATGTAAATTCCAAATTAGTTTTAAATGAGGAATTCACCCAGCCCATAATCTGTAGCCAATTCTGGAAAGTACCACCACATCTCAGCTGAGGCTAAGCAAGTCTCATCGCTGTTTTTGGCTGACTGCTTTTTTTCTAACATTCAGCTTACCAGAGCACTCCAGATTGAATATGGGCAATTAAAAGGAAGGGTGTACATTATTGCAAATTTTAATAATTTCTCGAGCCATTTTGCTTGCAGTCATAATCCCACAAGACCAACATATCTTGCATAAGAAACTCAGATGACTTTTGGCTGCAAGCAGCTCTTCGGTTACTTTGTAACCTATTCATGCTTAACTTCTGGACTTTCCCCATTTGTGGCTGGAACCTGCCAAATAGGACTGCAGTGGCTGCTTGGCTTCCCACAGCCATGGCTAACTTATTTAAGCCTGGCAAATGAACAATAATGCCAATGAATCAAATAACGATCAGAATTCTTCTCGATTCCACTGCTGCTATTTATGTATGGCAGAAGCTACCTCTGTCCAACACTTCCATGGTGTACAAAGTAATACTGGGCCAGAACTATTTTAAAAATTTGTATCTCCTATACTTTTATCACATGGTCTTGACCTTTTCAACAATCCAGAAAGTTAAAGATAATTTTAAAGGTCTACCTAATATGAATAGAATGGTAGGAAGCTTTCCTCACTATTACTTAAGAATAAGTTAAATTATCTAGTTTAAACTACAGGTTAAGAGATTACGTTCTGGAATAAGCCTGCTCGGTTTGAACCCTGGCTTCCCTGTTCATTAGCTGTGTGACCTTGGGAAGTCACTGAAGGTTTTAAAACTTTGGTTTACTCATCTGTAAAAAGGAGATAATAATATTATCTTCCTCACTGGGCTGTTAAGAGGATTAAATGAGCTCATTCACATGAAGTACTTTGTTCGGTTTATGGCATATGTTTTAAGTATCCAATAAATGTTAGCTTCCTCATGTCCACTGAAGTAACAAAAAACAGAGTTTAGTCATAGAGTGCTATTTTTTTTTTTTTTTAAATTTGCTTCAGAATCTCAAATCTTCAGTGAATTTCCATGAGTGCTATTTTGGACTAAGAATTTATAGCATTAGGGAAGGAAATATTTTCATGCTATAAAAAACCTATAAGGAAATTTCATATTGCCAGGATGTTTTTAACAAATCAATATGGTTTATATCATGTGCTAACTGAATAATACAATTATTCTAATTAACTGATCATGCACTCTGTGGGTTTGGGAAAAGTATGTCACCATTTAGCCAACAAAGAGTCATGAATAATTTGACAAAATATGAAGTTATTGTTTATGCTATTAGAAACTTAGTTACTTTTGTGTATGTCTGAACAGCCAATTCACTAAACATATTATTTAACAAACTGAATTATATATCTGATAGGATTTAAAAATAATCCTCTTGAATATGTCCAGAGAGGTTTAAAAAAAAAAAACTGCTATTATTAAACAATGTGGTAAATGAATCAGTCTCTGGTTTTGTTACTTTTTATAAAATATCATATCATTATTCTGTTCTAGTCCCCAATTAACCAATTCTGATCAATAGTCTGCTTTCCCCTAAAAGCAAATAGCAAAACAAGACAGAACTTTCGTTTGCTGATTCTACAGAAAATTTAAATTCTGCCAATCCAGAATATCCATGGAGCTAATTAGGAAAGCAAAGAATAAAGCTAACCATTTTTCACTTCTCTCCCATGTCCCAGAAGTCAATCAGTGCAAGCTGAAAGACATCATTGTCTGAAGAGTGTTCTTTTCATATTGACTGTGAGATTTAGAAACTCCTCTCGGTAACTCATTACAAAGTTAACCATTAGAAAACCATTTATTGATCCAGAAATCAGGAAGATCAAAATAATTACTTTCATAAAAATGAAAGACTCCTAGTTGCGAAATTGTATTGAGTCATATGTAAAATAAATTCTTTTTTCCCAGAATATATTCAAATTATTGTCCATTAGAAGAGTAAGGGATTGAGGTCACCTTCCCAGCATTTAACATGCATCCTTGGGGGGTTTCACATTACTGTCAGTATTTCATGAAAGAACACACAACATTAATTTATTAAATAACATGACAGTTGATGGCAATCTATAGAAGATGCTATTCTGGGCAAAAAAATGTGCTATGAAAAAATGAATTAGGAAGAAAATGGGGGGAGGATGTAGTATGGAAAACTATACTCTTCATTCTACAACCATCATTTAACGATGTTACTGCACACGTCCATGCTCTATAAATTCAGAGACATGTTTGCTTTCCCAAGCTGGCTGTCCACTTACCCTAGTTGTTTTCACTTTATTCCCAGAGGAACAGCTCCATCCTTTCCGATCCGGAAGAACTTTACATTCCTCTCCCTCAAGACATGGCTGCATATGGCACCACCATTTCTGTTCCACTATTGAAGCTACAGGAGATTTAAAAAAAAAAATCAATTCAGTGTTTTCTATTGGGCTAGTTAATTCTCTGGGTGCACATTTAAAGAGGAACAAAGGGCACCGATTTTTCCCACCACTAGGTAGATTGGGCTTTGAAGCATGCTTCCCTTTTTGCCCACAGGGGCTAAATCTTTCTAGATATTCTCACTAAAAGAATTTGTATTTTCTATTTTAGTTTATTGTGGTAAGAACACCTAACATGAGCTCTACCCTATTAACAAATAGTATCGTTAATTAAATGCACATTATGGAAGGATTTTTTTTTTCATGTGAACGTACAGGCTTCTTGAAAACTAATATATTGGAAAGAAACTTATGTAAACATACGCATGCACTGATTTACCTAAACATATAAGAAAATCAACCTATGACCAGTTTAGAGTCAACATAATACTTCCCACAAGTAGGCTAAAATTAGGACGATACTAGAGTTAATGTAAATTTTTTTTAACTGTGGGCAGTAACCATCATCAAGGAATGAGCCATGCTAACAGGAATATTTAAATTATTATTTATGGTAACAGTAATTAAATAGATCCATACAAAGATGTATGTCCTATTGTAATTAGGTGAACCGTCCAATAAAGAAATTAATATTTTGATGGATCTCCATAAATATCAACATTTCATGTGAATTCAAGGTACAATTACAAATTCGCTCATTTGTATGGTGCTTATTTTTTCATTCTTAAGAACCATCCATGGGTTTAGGTCACCATACTGTTTAATCCTCTATTTTCATCTCTCCTTTCCCAATTAATTTACACACACATGCCCTCCACAGGTAAATCAGTATTTCATGGTATCAAAGTAAGAAATACATGGACTTGTTGGAACCTCACTAGAATGCCTTTTGTTACAAAACTGCATAAGGTCTTAGACCTTCTTCAGGAGGATTTTAGATTTCAGAATGCCCCCCTAAATAAATAATCTCATCAACCACATGATTTATGGAATGGTCCCTCAGGACTGACCACAGTCAACAGCATTATAGTGGAGTTCCAGTTCTAACCAGTCCCCAGCTACATGACCACCATGAGCAATGGAAGAAGTCGCACCATCCACACAAGATGGAGCAGCTCGCGTGGTGCCTGCCACCTGCCCAGGGAAGCAGGAGCACTTGACTGTCTGTGATCGCTCTTCTATCTTGTTCTTATTACAGCATCTGTGGAGTGCCACCACCTCGCAAGTGCCCGTTTTAACATGGTGAGCTGCACAAACAAAAGAGATAAGACAACATTGAGAAAGTTTTGGCTTCTCCCTCCCTCTTTTTAATTAGAACTACATTAAATATAGCTCTATAAGGGATCCATCATGCATGAAACTAGAAATACAACGATGCTGACTCCATATGCAGATTTGATTTCTTTTCTAAATGTGCAAGGACCATTTCTGTCAGTAAATGTTTGGTGAAGCAGGAACAATTAGTGACCAGATTAGAATGAGCTGTTCAAACAGTCTGAAATATAGAGACAATATGTGGCGCCATCAAAAACATACTTATTTGCATATGACTTTTTTGTCCAACATGTTAATCAAAGAAAGGCTAACCCCTTGACAAGGCGCCCTGCAATGGGGCTAAGAGCAGACCTCTTCTCAGAGTGGGGGAGGGCTAAGGTTACATTGTTCTTCTAGGGGTGAGTGCAAAGGTCAGACAGGGGACCTCTTTTCAGAAAGCAAGGAGGTAAAGGGTGGAACCCATCTCCTCAGTATTCCTTTGCCCAGGTTCCCTGGGAATGAACTAATTGGGAATTCTTGAAATTGCTGCCATTTTCCTGAAAGTCCCAGCCAGTTTCAGTCCTGAAAATCTTTTCTTCCCATGTTGCCTTGAGGGAACAACTGCCACCAATAGCCAATAACTGTAGCCAGAATGTGGATAGATTTATATCTAGCCTGGGAGCCCCATCCAATAAGCTGTGGGGCTCCCCCCACCCAGCCCATTAACCTGGCAGAACGGCTTCTGAATGCTTTGGGTGCTTGAGACTTGTGGACCTCACTTATCACATTATGATAGGGTTCTAGTTTGCCTTTTTTTTTTTTTTGGCACCATTTCATCTTCAGAGTATTAACCCTACTTTGAAACAATAAAGCAGAAGTTTCATCTGCTAAAAATAAAAAGTTTAAAATCAAACATTAGTTGAAACACTATGCTTTCAGAAATTTAAAAAATGTGATATAAAAACCAGATCTGAAATTGTTTAATGTTATAAACATATCGAGGCCCATTTTGTAAATGAGATCAGTACATCATGTATTTATATTAATCTTCCCCTTGGGGATGAGTATCACTGTGCAGAACTCAGGTTAGACAGCTTGCTTAGATTTTTCTTGTAAGAGAAAACAAATCACACATTATCCATCCCTCCATGAGAGACCAAGAAACTTGGGTGTGACATATGGCTTTGACATGTGATCCTGAAAAGAACTTTCAGGAAACAGATATCATTTCCATTGCCACAAAGATTTTCCTGCCACTGTAGATACAAATGGGGATTTCTCTATGTTTGACTCAAACATAAGGCTATCTCTGTGGAAAGTTTAAAAACTTGAGAGCCAGACTTCTTTCTTCTTGTGCTCTAGAAAATATTTTCTTAGCTAAGGATGATTCAGTTTGGTTTAATTTATTGAATGCTTTGCATTATATCATACAAGTCAATATGCTGACTTTTTGTACTGCACTGCACTTAATCACATTTTGATTGAGTCAATACCACACCTCAGGTATGGTTCTGAGTATTGGGGATATAACAATGAAAAGGAGGGACATAGAGCCTGCCCTCAGCTCATATTCCTGTGTAGAAAGCAAATTATAAATACCTGTTAATGATTAAGACAATACTAGATTTTTAAGCTCCTTGAAGGAACTGCAGTAGAGTAAGGGGAGAGTAATCAAACAGGGTGGGAAAGTGTATTTTTGTGAGTGTCAGAGAGGACCCCTGTGAGATAATCAGAATGATGACCTGAATGCTGAAAGGGAAGCATCTGTTATGAGGATCCAAGAAAGGAAGAGCATTCCAAAGAGAAGGAACAGCAATGGTAGGGAGCTGAAATGGAAAAATGGGTGATGTGTTCCCAGGACAGCAACATGACTAGTGTGGCGATAGTGCGGTTGAACAATTGAGAGGTCTAGCAAACTGTGTCAGAAATGTGGGGAGATGGAGTAGGGGCTGGTATGCTGAATAAAGGGACTGGATTTTACTCATGTCACAAGGGAAACAGTCTGGGTGGATCTGGTATCATCTCATTAAATGCTTTAGAAGTTTGCTCATACCGCTCTTTAAAGAATGGATTGAAGAAGCAAGAGTGGGATGAGGGAGACCAGTTATGAAGAGGTTGCAAGAGCCTAGAGGATAAGGGAGGGGACTTAGTCTGTACTAACAGCAGCAGAGTTGGGGAGAAGTAGCAGATTCGGAATATTCCCCTGTAGAGCTGGTTTGACTCGCGATTGGATTGAACACGAATTCAGAGAGAAGGAGGAATTAGGATTACTCCTCAGCTTGTCCTGAGTAATTAGAAGTGGGTGGTTCTGCAAACTGGTGTTTGCCAGAGGGGAGGTGGATGGGAGTTGGATAAAATAGATGGAGAGCACATTAATCATGATGAGCACTGATTAACATGTAAAACTGTTCAATCATTATATTGTACACCTGAAACTAATATAGCACTGTATGTTAATTATACATGAACTGTGTGTGTGTGTGTGTGTGTGTGTGTGTGTGTGTGTGGTGGTTCTGGCAGATAGAGAAGGCCTGGGAATGGGGAGTTTGGCAGAAGCTGGGTTGGGTTAAACTACCTGTAGTTCTTGTTGTCAGTGTTAAATCTGAGACTATACAAGGTACCCAGGTAGCAATGTAAATCAGGCAGCGACATTTATGAAGTGGAGCTTAGGGAAGAGATTTGGGCTGCAGATACGCACTTAAGAAATCCAGGCTGATAGGTGATATTTAAAGCCACAGACTAAACCACATTACCATGGAAAGGTTGCCAATAGAGAAGAAGGGAACGAATAGTCCAGAACCTCAGTCTGAAATGGGGGAAGCCAGCAATAGAGACTGGCAAGGAGCAGCACATGAGGTAAGATAAAAAGAACATGGAATGAAAGCATGGAAAACGAAAGAACAAAATGTTTCAAGAAGAAGGGGATCGATCAGCTGTGGTGAGTGCTGCTGAAAGGTTCAATAAACAAAGAGAAATCACTGTCCCTTAAAAAAGTAAGATCATGTACTAATTAAGAGCATAGCCTTTAAAACCAGAGTAGCTGGGTTCAAATCTGAGCTCCCCCTAATAGCTGTGTGACCTTGGGCAAATTATTTAGGATATTAACAGTACCATCTTTATAGGGTTGGTTTGAGGATGAAATGAGTTAATGGGTATAAAGTATTTAGAGCACTGCCTGCCTCATAGTAGGCCCTCTGTGTTAGCTATTCTTAGCATTTGATCCAGTAAAAATCATTTCAGTGGCATGATGAAAATAAAAGCATGATTAAAGTAAGTTTATTGGAGAATGGGATGTAAAACTGCAATTATACAAATTTCTTCCAAGAAGCTTTACTGTTAAGGGAAGAAGGAAGTGAGCAATAACCAGAATGAAGCATGGTGTCAAGGGAATCTTTTTTAATGAATGCCATAAAGGCATGCTTGCTTGCTGGAATGATCTGGTAGAGAAATGCACAATATAGGAAAGAAAATGGGTAATTACAAAAGAATGTTCTTGAGAAGGAAAAAGGAATTGAGATTCAGGGCACTGGGGGGGTTAACAATAAATTGATGGAGAAATAATCCATTTTAACAAGAGCGAAGGTGGGATGTGTAGCTACAGAGGCAGGTAGGTGTGAATGGATTAGGTGGTGAGGAGATGAGGCAGTTTCTTATCTGACTTCACCTAATTTTGCTATGAAATATGAGAGATGTTTGAAAAGAAAAGGGATATAAAATAGGTCTCTCAGAAAGAGGCAAAGTAAATTTCCTGGGAAGGAGTAGTAGAATGCCTGCAGGGAGTTGGCTGGTACACACTGTAAACTCCAGAGGATGGAAGAAGATGAGGGATTTCAGAGCAGAATGGAGATGAACATCTCTGTGATGACGACTGGGGATGCTTGGACCTCTGATAGTGATTTGGGGAAAGAAAGATGTACATCATGAGGTCTGTCGTACAAGTCTTTGGATGGAAACCAGGCTGGAGACAAGAGATTATTAGGGCTTCTTCAGATACTGACGCTGTTCAGCCCAGCACTGAGCTGAGACAGCTCCGGGGACAGCCTGAGGTGGCGAGGGTTCTGCTCTCTTCCAGAGGGTTCTGTTTTCTCCCAATGCCAGGAGCACACAGTGACAGTCCACTGACCTCTCCCCTGGGAGGAGAGGCACTATTTTAGCATCCACAAAGGCCATTTTACTATTTGTTCTAAGGAGATTTTATCGTATATTGGAAAGGAATAGGCGAAAACTCGGCATCGGGTTTCCCCTTCCCAATGTCAGTATCAAAATTCATTTCTACTTTTACTGACAAGAAATATAAAAGGATAATGCAGTTGTGGTAGTCATTGGTAAACATTAGTGCTGTTTGCCAAATATTTCTGGCTCTCTCCCTTCTGGACACCTGGTAATATTGTACCTCTTCACCCTGATCATTAACCTTTGGCGTGATCATGTGACTTGCTTTGGCCAATGAAATGAAAGCTAAAATATTAGCAGTCACTTACGAGCAAAAGCAAAGGATATCAGCTTGTGTGGCTGCTTTAAGAGCTAGTGTGTAATTCACCACATTTTTCCTACCAGCCCAAGCAACTAAGTATGTTCTTGATAGTGGAAACTATATCGACCTGAGTCTTCAAGTGAAGAGACATGAAGCAGAGTTCCACCAACTATGATGGACTTATGAGTGAGAAATAAGCCTTAAGCTGTAAGCCTCTAAAAGTTTGAGGTGGTTTGTTTTTTTTTCATTTTTTTTAAATTTTTTTAAGAGGTGGTTTTTATTACTGCTTCAAAACTTAGCCCACCCTGAGGACATAGTACTTTCTACTGCTTCCTAGATTGTATAGTAGGATTTATTTTTTCCAAATGCATTAATTGGAGGATAAGCCAATGAAGCATGGTATCTCAAAATATATCATTCTAGCTTGTGTGAGTCAATGCAAAATGAATATTTAAAGGAAAAATGTTTGGGATGTCTGGGTGGCTCAGTCGGTTAAGTGTCCTGCCTTCAGCTCAGGTCATGATCCCAGGGTCCTGGGATCAAGCCCCACATCGGGCTCCTTGCTCAGCAGGAAGCCTGCTTCTCCCTCTGTCTGCCGCTCGCCTGCTTGTGCTCTCCCCTTCTCTCTGACAAATAAGTAAAATCTTCTTTAAAAATTAAATAAAGGAAAATGTTTATATATTATATAATTTAAAGGATTGCAAAGAGTTATTCCACAATTGGATAATTACTTTGGCTAAGTTTGGTATGTGAGGACTCTGGGGAAGAAAGTATGTTTTCTTGTTTGAGGAAAAAGGAGGTAAGAATGATGCCTGTATGGTATAATGAAGAGGAGGGTAAAGTAAGAACTGCAATGGGAAGGCTGACAGACATGTCCTCCCCTTCAGAGCACATGGCACTAAATGTGAAAAGATTAATAATAAAGCTGACCAGGAAGAGCAAGCCTGATAGACACAGGCTTTGCTGCCTTGACCTTTCTCTTCATTGAAGAAAGAAAAGAAAATGTACAGACATACAGGTTGAGTTTCTGGGTGAAAAATGGGACTTAGTAAAAAAAAAAAAAAAAACCTGTCTCAGCCTCTGTTCTTATTAAAACTGAAGTTGTAAAGCTTTTTTTGTGAAAGAATGAGTGAGGGATAATTAACCTTTTTAAAACAGAACAGATGATAGGCAAGTAGATGGATGGGTAATATTATCCTCAAAGAGTTTGAAGGCATGGGCAGGAAGAATATTGACTTCAGTATGTTTTGATATATGCGAAGTGAAACCAGATACCTCAAAACAGAGAAATGAATCTTCTAGCAGAATTTAGTTCACCTAAGCATGGCATACGTAGACATATGTATAGTTTTCTTATTTGTCTGTGTATCTTAACTTCTTAGGATAACCAGATTCTTGTAGACAAAGTAATTTTTCATGTAAACTGTTCAGCATGTGGTATGTGTTTAATAAATGGTAAACAAGCAATTTAAGAAGGTAAAACTAATTCCCATGGTTTTCCTTTAAAAGGTTAATGAGACTGTAGGAAATTCCAGCAGTTACTACAATTCTCTATATGGATTCAGACAGAGCTCATGATAAACTAACCTAATCAAATATTAGGGCTTTCCAAATTAACAAAATAGGCTTCACAGACAGTTAGCATCATATTAAAATGATGCAAGACCCCCTGGAGAAGATTTAAATGAAAAAAGAACAAACAAACAATTTTCTTCATGTCACAATTCCCAAGTCACAAACAAACCAACAAAAACCACCTTTCTTCTATTCTTCTATTTTATCCTCCCTGGATGTGATGCATAAACACCAAGGGTTGCCCCCTACATTTTTGTGAAAGGATGCTAGAGACACAGAGGTTTCATTCTTATGAAAATTGGGATACCAAGTTTTACCCAGCTCTAATTGTGGCCTTCTGGGATTATTACCCTATGTCTCATTTCAACAATAGGATCATTAGCCTTTGCCCCCAGAAGTGAGGCCTAAGATACTGCCTCTTAGAGGAACCATGAGAGACGATGGACTCTGAGAAACAAACAGAGGGTTCTAGAGGGGAGGGGGTGGGAGGATGGGTTAGCCTGGTGATGGGTATTAAAGAGGGCACGTACTGCATGGAGCACTGGGTGTTATAGGCAAACAATGAATCATGGAACACTACATCAAAAACTAATGATGTAATGTATGATGATTAACATAATACAAAAAAGATACTGCCTCTTAAACCATGTCTCAAGATTTCTGAAAGTTTTCTTTTTTCTTTTTTTTTTTTTTCTGAACGTTTTCTAAAGCTACTGTGACTGGTATATTCTGATATGAAGTCCTATAAGGCATTTTAGCAAAATGTTTGTTGTTTTCAACTGCTTTTTCACTGACTGAAAGGAACTTCTCCAGAGGGAAAAATCTGAATTAAATAACATTTGGTTCGTATGCTTGCATAGATTTTTAAAAACTATATGCCCGCATACATAATTATAATTTTATATATATATATACACACACGTATGTTTATACATGTGTTAATATGATCACATTTTATTCACCTGTGAACTATAAATACATAGGTATGAAAAATTGGTACACAATAAAATAATATTTATGCAAATCATTTCACCTTGAGTAGTGGTTGCTGGCCTTAGGTTAATAAGAACACAAAACTATGCATATCACATTCTGTACATATGAATCATTCATTCACTCTGGAAATGATGTATAAAATAATGACAGCTGCTACCATTTATTGAATATTCACTGTATGCCAAGCATATGAAACTTTTAAATTGTATAACGTTACTTAAATATTAATTCTCTTTGTTTTTACTATTAATATAATTAGTGAATACAAAATGATGGAACATATAAGTTACAAAGACATAGCTGCTAGGGAAAATTATCTACATTTTCTAAAAGTTCTAATTTCATATTTCAAAAAATCTCTAGGGACGCCTCAGTCGTTAAGTATCTGCCTTTGCCTCAGTTCATGATCCCAGGGTCCTGGGATCGAATCCTGCAGTGGGCTCTCCCTGCTTCACGGGAGGCCTGCTTCTCCCTCTCCCACTCCCCCTGCTTGTGTTCCCTCTCTCACTGTGTCTCTCTCTGTCAAATAAATAAATAAAATCTTTTTAAAAAATCTCTATATATACTTAATTGTGTTGACATGAGATGCATGTAAAAAAATATTTAATTTGACAAACTACAGAAGAAAGTAAATTCAGCATCAAGTTGTGAATTTGTTCCTACTTGGTTTCCTTTCCATTAGATTTCAGTTCTTATTTGTATTCTGATTTGTCTCACTGATTCTAAAATTTTGTTTGTCTCCGTACACTCCTATTTAATAGTTTTACCCAGCTTGACTAGCTCCCCAGAGAGTCTGCATTACACCTTCTAAGCAGAAATAAAGCATCACCTACATGCACCAATAGACATCTGAAATGCAAGCTAGTTAGTGGATTTGGGTTGCTGTAAATCACTTTGAATGGAAAAAATGTGCTGAAACAAAACTTTTTGAGACAGCTAATTTCTCACTTTAATTCATTACAATGAGAAAATAGGGCACATTTTTAGACTTTCATGCTGAAGCAATCTAATTAAAAGAAATGGTTATTTAAAGAGCTCAATGAAATTTCAAAAGTTCACATAATTTATGAAGTCAAAATGATCAGGGAGGAAACAGCCAAGTGCAGATGACATTTTTACAGAGCCTGTTTTCTAAAGCTGCTCCATTTTTATATGAAAAAAAATAAAGTCATTGGGGCAAAAAAAGATTGTCACTAAAGGATAATAACCCTAATAATGATGGTACAGTCTCTATTAACAAAAGCAAGCTCTCAACCACAGGATGTGCCCCAGTCTGTTTTAAGAGAAAGAGGCATTACAGAAGATTCACTCTTGAGAGAATTTTAGACTCATTGCCCTTCAGCTCAATCATGAACATCTTCTACTTCCTCATTCTAAATGAGAATTGATATTGAAGAAGGCAAATCTCACGGAATAGAGGGCCCTTTATAAACTACCAGAACTTCTGCTTGTAATTCCTGCTCTGAAAAACAGAGACTGGACAAATCAAATCCATCTGTCTGGAAATTTGAACCGAAAGTCACAGAATTGCCACGTGGAAATGGGCACGTGGCATTAGAAATCCGGTGACTCGTGGAGAGATGGGTCTATGTCTCACGGTGGTGGGATTCCAAGGAAGCAGACAGAAGAGGGAGCTGAGCCCAGATACAAAGAGATGTCAGAGATAAGAGAGTAGGGAGTCCACAGGCTGCCCTGGTGTTTGCCCTTCCTCAGGTCTTCCTGAAGTTTTCCAGAATTCCTGAAGTATTTTATACAAGAGGCTTCAATGAACCTCTTTTTTCCTGAGGTAATTCGATGTTATTTCTGTACTTTGACCCAAAAATGTGCTGACTAGGGTATTTCTCCTTTTTTAAATTAAAATTATTATTAACAAAAGCTAATCATCAGGCAGAAGCATCTCTGTCACCACTTTTAAGTGCAGGAGACAAGTTTCTACCTTCAAAGTAGGATCCAGGAAATGCACAGATCCAACAGTTGCACTTTCTACATTTCTCTCGGAGTGAAAAGTGACATTTCTAGTGATGACCCCCAAGGCCATCTCAAATTACTCAGACAGGAAAATGCCCATTGTGCTTTTTAAAATGTTTCTAATGTCAAAGGTTTAAAAGCAGATTTTCTGCTTAAT